CTCCCAGCCCTGCAGTGTTGCAGGGAGCACTGCTGTCACCCCCTCTATGGGAGGAGCCCTGCTGGTCACCCACACTCTCTCAAAGCCTGAACCTGGGATGCAGCTGGAGAGCCGGGCTCAAGTCCTTGCCCTCTGCTTCACTCAGAATCTGGGGGTTGGAGCAACTCCCCTCAGAGAAAAGAGGACCAGAGAGACCCGAGTCCAGAAACACGGGCACTGCGTGGATCCCCCGGTCCCTGCCAGGCTCTGGCTGTCGTGTCGCAGCTCCGTCATTATTACCACACAGGCCACCAGCAGCCTCCCTCCCTTGTCTTTCTTCCAAGACATCACGTACTGGCAGAAGAGGCCTTCGCAAGCCCTGCACCAGCTCCAGAGACCCCGCACAGGGAGCTGGGACCTGGATTTCTGGAGGCCGCAGGGTCTCGATCTCAGGGTAGAGGAGGTATTGGTTTCTGTGCAGAAGGAAAGCCCAGCGCTCAATCAACAAGGAGGGGAGCAGAGCAGGATTGTTGCCAAAGGAGCCATGCAAGTCCTGGAAGAAGTTTATAGCCCATTAGCTTGATTTCTTCTTGTCGGAAAAGGGTGGTGAACCAGCGCTCAATCAACAAGGAGGGGAGCAGAGCAGGATTGTTGCCAAAGGAGCCATGCAAGTTCTGGAAGAAGTTTATAGCCCGTTAGCTTGATTTCTTCTTGTCGGAAAAGGGTGGTGAAAAAGTGAGCAGACTTGTTTTCTGATGCCACAAGATTGATTATGTTTTTGGAGCAAGAGCCCTTGACTAAAGGCCACCATTAAGTGTGTCTTGTCAGGACGCTGAGGATCGTTGCTGAGAAGATCATGCAGATGCACTGGCTGCCCAGCCCAGGAGGGGCTCCCTCCTCGTGTAGGCCACTGGAGGGGTCACAGCTTCAGCCAGCCCAGGTAGGGAGGGCGGGCAGAGTGACGGCCAGCGAGGCTCTCCTGAGGCCGGTCTGAGGAGATGGAAGTCACTCTTGGGGCTTCACGAGAAAGGAGCAAGCGCAGAGCTCCTGGCCACCCACATCCCCAGATTAGAGGCTCAGAGGCCATGAGCCCTGCTCTGCAGGCCCCTGGAGACCCAGCATGATGGCTGGCATCTCCTCGGGCTTCTGCAGCCCAAGCTGTTCCTGGCGCCGCGGGACTTCTGTGATTCAGTCGGCCGCAGAGCTCTGAGTAAATCTCCCTGGTGATGCTATTCAGAAAGCCGTGGCCATTGCTCTGGAAAATAAATCCCGTGCTATTCGCTGTGATCTTTTATTACTTATCTTCTAGACAGGAAAGTAGGTCCTCAGCACTTTGGGGTGCAGCACGTGCTGCTGCAGAAGCTGTCTGAGTGGCGGGACCACCTGTGTGGGGGGCTACGTGCAATCTTGGAGACAGTGGGTTTCAAAGCAGGATAGCTCCCACAGAGGAAGCCTGCGAGAACAGCCCTCGTGTCAAACCGAGGAAAGTAGAAATAAAGATAGCAAGTCCACCGTCGCAGTCCTGTATCGTTCACCAGTGGGTAGTTCCGTGCCCACCGTAGTCAACGAGACTGGCAAAAACTGGATCTGTTTCATTCCCTATTGAGGCAAGGCAAGTGTTATATCAAAATCAAAATCCGGAAGAAAGTCAACAACAGTAATAAAAACAAGATTTTAAAAAACAGACAGAATAATAGCTGATACGTGTGCCCAGCACAGTGCCAGGTGCTTTTGTGGAGGTGGTCTGTTGAGCCCTGATCCTAGACTGCTGCCCCTAGGTGTCCACATCTGTTACCCCCACTTTATGGAGGTGCCCTTCTTACATCTATACTACAGGCAGCTGTTCGGTCAAGGGTCCCATTCAACAGCCACACAGCGACGGCTACACTGATGACGTGTGCTGATCAGAAGCCTCGTTCTGACGTGCTTGCTCCCGCACCCGCCCCCGGCTGCTGCTATTTCTTCTCATCACCTCTTCCCTGTGTCACCATGAGGGTCTGTCATCTGAATCCAGGTGGAACTCAGCAGCTGCAACACTGTCCCTTCACAGCTCAGGGTCATGTGGCAACCACGCTTCTGGGGAAGCGGCTCCGGTGTGCCACTCGCGGTAGGAAGCCTGTGAGCCCAGCAGTGACAGAGGGGCATGGTCACGACCGGGCACTGCGGTGACTCGTGGCCTCTTTGAGAGAACTTCCTGTCCCTCTGTGCTGAAGTGGGTCACACAGCTCAATTCTGGGGCTGCTCCTTCTTTCCTTCTTGAACGAGGCTACGTGTATAAAAGTACATCCCGTACTTTCTTCTTATACATCATAAACGAGGCGCCTGTCACAAAAGTGGACTGTGAGCACCTTCCTCCTTTAAAAGAAATGAAAATGCAGCTGTCACCTGCCAAGAGCCTGGCGATCTTTGCCACAGAGGGTGCCTGCGTTCCTGGTAACAGGCGGTCTGCTGGAGTAGAAAAGTAGATTCAGGGCGTTTCCCGCAGATGTTCTGGAACTGACTTCACCGCACAGTTTCCTTAGGCTTTGGTTGTAAATCTAGACAGCGGTCTCAGAGCCGTGGAATGTGAGAGCTGAAGGGTTTTCACTCTGTTTCTAAATTAAAGCAGTGCAGGACAATAAGAAGTCAATGGTGTGGGATTTTGGGGGTGTCCCCACTGCCCTGGGGTCCACCTCCATACTAGCTTCGGTCACGTCACATCTCCAGTTACAGTCCAGGTTGGCGCCAAGCCCGCATCTCCTGCCACACCTGCCTGCCTGTATGATAGCACGGGGCTGCGCGTGGGAGACACACATGTGCACAGGGCTGCATGAGTGACTGCGTGTCTGGGGCATGTCTCCTGTGATTGTAGGACAGTCACGTGCACGGTGAGCTGCCTCAGCCTCGGACATGCCTCTCCTTAATGTCCGGCCTCTTGGCAACTCACACCAGTACTGCAGCTGTGTTTCTGGACACTGCAGCAGGGCCGGCCTGTCTTAGATGTGACTGGAGGGCTTCCGCAGAGTCATCGCGCAGGGTTTCCTCCCAGTGGCCGCCTGGCGGGGAGGCCACTCACAGAGCCTAGAGAGCAGGGCTCCGTGTCCCTCTCAGATGGGGCACGGCAGGCAGCGCCGTTCTGGCGCAGCCCAGTGCGGATGGGTGCAGCTGCAGGTTAGGGGATGCAATAAGGTGAGCTGGCAGGTCGTCACAGGCATCCACGTAGAACTCGTGCACACGTGCCTTGTACTCTTAACCGCCATTGGTCTCTCTTCTTTCTCCTTGAATGTGTCATAAAAAACTCACTCCACTCGAACAGACGTGTTGCTCAGGAAACTCTTTATCCTCTAAAGGATAACATTAGAAGTGTTCTAACAGCACTTCTAATGTTTGAACTCCTTTGTAAACACCAGGAGCCGGCCAATTGGGTGACGTAGAACCGTGGCTTATTTGAAATTCTCTTTTAGTCTCTCTTTGCTATTGAACAAGCACTTGCTTTTCAGCAAACCAATTGTCCAACTTCCCCCAAGATACAGAAGATGGAGTTCTGTGTGGCTGTGTCCCCATCTGACTCCAGGCCCCTGAGTGCAGGGCCCGGCCCACAGCAGGTGCTCCAGCCCCGCAAGGACGAGCAAGGCCCACGTGGCACCTCCTCTGCCCTCCCTCTCAGCCCCTCATGTCCTCGACAGGGTTCTCCTTTTCTCCTATCTGCCTCTCAGACGTGGCCCCTGCTCCCAGCAACTCCAGCACTGTGGGAGCTGGTGCTGGCTCGCGCCAGGAGCTGCTCAGTCCTGTCGCCCATCCCTCCCTGTGGGCTCCTGGGCACTTGCCACCCCTCCCCGTCTCTGACCTGCTGGTGTGGGTCCCAGTTGTGCTTCTCTGAGGGCCCCATGCAAGTCCTGTCGCCCATCCCTCCCTGTGGGCTCCTGGGCACTTGCCACCCCTCCCCGTCTCTGATCTGCTGGTGTGGGTCCCAGTTGTGCTTCTCTGAGGGCCCCATGCATGCCCATCACCTCCATGTCTTAGTTCTTAGTTATGCTGCCAACCATCCCTCCACCCCTTCTTTGCCTCAGAACAGTCCTGCTTCCCCTCGAAGCCCACCTCGTGCGCCTCTTCCCTCGGGCCTACCTGGCCCTCACCCCCTGGCCCCACTCGCACCCCTTACTGCGTCTCCCCAGGGCAGCAGGTGCATGGAAACGGTGTGGCTTGAGGGTCAGACAGGAATGCTTTCACCTCCCTCGTCCTTTGGCCTCGGCAGGAGAGCTCTCTGGGCCCCGCCGTCCTACTCTGTAACGCCAGGGGCACTGCCTGCCTTTAGGATTGTTGAGTAATTAAGTAGCATTGAGCCGCCATCACTGATGAGGGCCCCCAGCAGATGTTCCTTTTCTTACCCTCATGTTCATGATTTACTTGTGTATTGACACACCCGATTCCCCATTGGGCCCCATCTCGTCTGTGTTTGTGTCCGAGCGTGCAGCACAAGACCCGGCATTAAGGGAACACTTGGTGTTTGTTGGACAAGTTGGCAGACACGTGGGGTAAAGGTCACACCACATACACCTTTTGTGTGATTTCCTAGGAACTTAGAACAGTGCCAGCATGTGGGGTGGGCAAGAAAATCTCAGTAGCCACAGCAAACAGAGCACACATGGGACATGGAGTGGGGGACAGACAGAGGCATTCGTCCCACGTACACCTGTTGCTGTCGAACTTAGATCAGTGCTACCTGCGATTGGATGCCACGCTCTCAGTCAGGCGGGGCATTTCAAGTGAAGTCCTGCTCTTTTCTAACCCAGTTCCCTTTTATAAAGATTCAGCCTCAGAAGATGAATTCATTGTGATAAGCCCATTTACCAGCTGGGATTTCTGAATCTCTGGGCCCAGTACCAGAAGAACAAAAAGGAGCTTCCTGTAACCCCAGCTCTTTAAAGCTTCACTTCCTGATTCCGTGGTTAGTTTTTCAGAAAATGGAGCTACCTCAGATGCCATCAAGCATGCAGTGGCAGTTATTTGCTACTAAATCACCTCCTGTTTCTCTTTTCCAGGAGTTTCTTTTAATAGTGTTTACACTCAAATTTGGAGAGTCTTATTGCATCTGGCTGCCGACCCCTACCCAGATGTTTCTGACCTGGCCATGAAAGTGCTCAACAGTGTGGCCTACAAGGTACGTGTGCTGGGACGTCTTCACAGGAGCTCCCGTGGTTCTGGTTTTCAGCTACAACTATTCCAGCAGGAAACTCCAGGCACATCCAGGTCTACAACATGGTTTAGAAGATAAGTAAGTGAGGTGAACTTTGAAGAAGGTTTTGAATCTAGAGTTTTGGAACAGACCCTGAGCTTCACTCGTGTGTGGTTTTGGTCAAGCCACACTTTCCTGTGTTTCCTTGCCCAAAGCAGGGCATCGGGCAGGGGAGGACTGGCACCGTTTTTCACGGTCCTCTTTCTATCTGTATGATCTGTGGTGATGTCTCCTTTTCCATTCCTGACACTGGTAATTTATGACTTCTCTCATTCATGACCATTCTGGCTAAAGGAAACTTCAGAGAACCAGCTCTTGGTTTAACTGGTCTTCCTCTGCTGTTTGTCCATTTTCTGTGTTATTGATAGCTGCTTTTATCTTTATTAACTTCTTTTCTCTGCTTACTTTGGTTTTAATTTACTCTTCTTTTTCTAGTTCTTAAGGTAGAAGCTTAAGTCTTTTGAGACTGTAAACTCTTCCCAGTCCTTTTTGTGAGCTCTGGGAATCTGTCCTACTGCCTTCCAATTGTTCTTTTCCCAGCCTCATGGGTTTCCACCCCACCTGTGAGCAAAAGAGTATTCAAAGACTCAAGGGGCCTCCCCTGCAGACCTCGGAAGCTCTCACCTTTCTGCTCCTCTGCCCTGCACGTTCCAGTCCCCCAGCCTCCCCAGAGCTCTGGTCTCTGTCTCCTCTGCTCAGAGGAAGCTCTGGGCTCTGCCTGACTTCCCCTTCTCTGCACTGCAGCCTGGGACTGCCCGGAAGCCACTCACAGGTCCTAAGCTGAGCAGTTGTTTATTTCCTTTCTCTCAGGGATCACAGGCCCACAGTACCCAATGTCCTCTGTCTGAGAACAGTTGCTTCATATATTTCTCCTGGTTTTCTAGTTGTTTATAGAAGTTGGACCGTTTACATGGCAATTAATCTTCTGTAAATTGAACTAGAAGTCATTCATTATAGAATTTAAAATAAAATTTTGTAACTTTTTGATGAAATTTCAAGCTTACAGAAAAGTCGAAAAGAGGGTACAAAAAAGACCATCACATCTTACAGTTTCCCTGGTGTTCTCTCAATCCTTACCTGACCCAAACCTCAACTGCAGGGTTGTCCCCAGGTTGTCACCTATTTCCTAGAGTCTGTAGGGTCTAGGATCTGTGGCCTTCAGTCCCAGTCCATTGTGTTTTCGAAAGTGCCGTCAAGCCTCCTGGTGCCCTTGTGAGCCGTGGCCTTCCTGGCGCTTCTGCAGCTCCTACCTCTGTTGGTCTAGTTACGTCTTTTTCCTGACTGGTTGGAATCACCTCACTGTCAGCGGCTGCTGCTCTTCAGCTCCTGGTAGTGTCACACGTAATTGTAACAGACAGCCTTGCTGTGTCCCAATTTTAAAATGCCGTCAAAGTCAGTCTTCTCTTTCTCATGAAAGAAGCAAGAACAGTAATGCAGAAGTAAACTCTGGGTTTTAAACTCAAGAGATGTGGTTACATGTATGGCTTCTATCCTGGAAGCGAGGACTCGTAGGTCCAGAGATATTTCATAGTCTCTCCTGCCCAGTAGAGCTGCCAGCTGAGTGCTAAAATGTTAGATTACTATTGGCCAACCCAGAAGGGTCTGGATTGTTTAGTCCTGCACTGACTTCCCCTCCGGCCAGGGGCTGCTCAGCCCACTCTCTTCACCCTTGTGCTGTGTGACCAGCTACAGAGCTGCCTGGTAATCTCCAGCCTCAAGGGCTGGGTGGTCTTCTCAGCTTTCTTTCCTGCGTCCCTGGCCTATTAAATTATAGCCAGCCAATTAAGTCAGTGTTTCCACCATTTAATAGAAAACTAAGAAATAATCCAGCCATCTGCTTTTTCAGTTAAGGATAGGACCAATGAAAAAAAGGCTTTTAAAAAAATACATGCTTGTTACATGTTATGGTCTGAGACCAAGAGAGGGAGAAAGAAAAGCAGATAGGAAGGAAACAGGGAGGAAAAGAGGAGGAGAACCTAGAGAAAGGCCCGGCTGAGACCTCACAGTACCCCGAGGTTCCGGAGGGCTTGGGGAGGAGAGAGTCACATCCCCCTGCAGCGCGTCAGGGCAAGTCCGTTCTCACCACTCACCACCGCTCTTCCAAACTCTAAGTAGCCTCTCCCACTTTTACATTTTCCAGGTTGGGTTTTAAGTAATCGTTTTCACTTAAATAGTTTTAAAAGCTTTGTGTGAATGTTAACAAATGGTTGAAGTTTGTAGAATTTACGTTCAAAGAAAGTAGAGACTGGCCAGCTCCCTCCTGCCTGCAGCCGCTGACACACAGCAGGTCTGTGCCTCTCCGTGCTCTCTGAGGCCCAGGCAGCCCGCTGGCCGCGGACCACCCTTGTGCTGGCCACACAGCACGGCTGGAGGCCAGCACCCTAGAGTGGTTTAATCATCCTCCCCAGTTAATTTAGCTTCCTGGTGTTTTGGTCATGGTGAAATCAGCCTATTTAAGTTTATTTTTCAGTGTCTTTTATGTATTTGACCTTATTAGGAATCAATCTGAATTATTTAAAAATGTAATCCCAGTGCCTAGTCTTGAGATTTCACAACGGTAAGTTCATTACTGTAGACACAGCCACAGGTTGTTAAATTGTTCCTTTCAGGGCTAGCATGTGAAGCACAGAAACCATTTCTCCGTGCTCTGCAATAAAGACACTATTTGCAGCCTCCGCAGCCCTGGGTCCTTCTGGATTGTGTGAGGTGTGTAGCTATGAGCAAGAAATGCACCCCCACCCCACTTTAAGGTAGTTAAGCATTGTCTTAATGTTAATCTCTCATTTTAGAAAATTATAGCAGGCTGAAAAGATAGCCTTGTCCTGCCTGTAGAGCAGTGCTCTCTGACTGAGCCCTAGAAAGCCCCATAAAGTGGCCTTTGCCTTCTGTGCTTGCTGTGCTGGTCTAGAGTGACACCCACGGCCAGAAGGATGGTGACAGAGCGGGCCTCCTCCAGAGACATTGCGATGGGGCAGTGTAGCGTGCGTGCCTGCATGTGTGCCTGTTTGTGCCTGTGTGTCTCTGTGTATGTGTGTGCATGCCCATGTCTGTGTGTCTGTGTGTCTCTGTATGGCTGTCTTTGTGTGTCTGTGTGTGTGCCTGTGTGTGTCTCCCTGTGTGCGTGCCTGTGTGTGTCTGTGTATGTGCACATGTTTGCTTTTAAGAGTAAACGTTGCTACGGAAGCATTTGGGAGCATAAACGTTAAGGAAA